TATTCGGTTTTGATACAGTTGTCATTCTTGCCTTCACATCGCAAGGAATCGATTCTAATTGAAAGGTCCCGCTATTTATACCATTCGGAGTGTTGGAACACCCTCCAAAGGCGCGCCCCTTTGACAGTCAAAATAGGATTCCTTAGCAACAAAAATAAGCAATGACACCGATAGTCTTAACCACTTCAAACTATGGAACAACGAATAGAAGTTTGGGAATCACATACATGAAGACTAACTAACTCATTTTTTACTTGTTTCAAGATCATCCTCTGAGTACAAAACCGAGTCTTAACACTATCAACAAGGCATAAAAAGTAACGAGGACTAAGATGTGTTCCTTTGATTACTAAAAAATCCTGTTCCCCTAGTTTGAAGCAGTCATGACTAGGAATCGGTGGTAGATCTTACATTCCGTAACGTACCACGAAAAGGTGATCAACCCACGTTACGGGGCAAAAAATATCATGGGTTAGAACCCATGCCTCGTTACATTACAGAGTTGATCTATTGTAGAAAATCTTGAATGATAGAACTCGGCGGAACGATTCGGAAAAGTAATACTTATGTTTAGAACAAAGTGACGTACGCTTGGGCCGGTTCGGAAGACATTGTTAACTGCTTTCGGGGATGTCGTTGATAAGGTCGCGTCATTTGCTTACCAGGCTTTAAAAGATCGCATCACTTTCCAATGTGAATCCAGATCTAATTCTCTTTTCCCACTAACAAAAAACGATGCAGAGGTTTACTCGGTCTCTAATAACAACGGTTGCCAAAATAACAATCCTTTCCATCCCCAATTACCGTAAGGACGTGGCCGGTGTCTTTATTGACCTCAAAAATAAGGATTCACCGGATTTTACACACAGAGAATGGATTGCTAATCCCAAGTCCCATTCATATGGTTCTTTGTGGAAATTTCGCTAAATCTGATTAATCACGGAGTAGCAACTACTGAAATATATGATCATCAATGCTCATACTCATGAATGCATATAGTATGAGAATACTCTCAGTAACTTAAGTTCCCGTTTTTCCTGGTTTATCACGGGTGCCCAGCATGTTTTTTTCCGGTTCCATATAAACAGCTTAATAAGGTTAGAAATCTCAAACAAGCTAGGCCATTTTATTTTAAATGCAAAAACCAAAGAAAAAATCCTTTTCTTCTCTAATGAGAAATAAAATATATTTTTTAGAATTTTAAAAAAATATTACGTTTCAAGATTGCAACAATATGTTGTATAATTTAGATAACTATTTGAAGTTTAAAGAAATTTTTGCATATTTTTAAAAATTTCAGAATTGTGAAATTTGTTTACGATATATATACACTATTTGAAGGGCACTAGACTACATTAATGGATTGAGCATAGAAATTAATTTATTATTTTCCTTTATTTAACATCGGTCTCTATTCCGCAATCTAGTGCCAATCACCGGAGGACATTGATTGCCATCCATTGTGCAGGAAGGCAGCTTCCACAGCTGCAAAGGATATCGCACCCATTCACAACACACATGGGCTGGGACCAACGGCTTTACTTCTCCGAAAGAAGACGTGATCAGAAAAATCCCACCGACCTCGGCTGGGATTAAACTCAGACCCATTGGGTTCCAGAAAATATTTTTGAAAATAATGAAATCTATTAAATAATATTTGATTTATCGCACTAACATTGTTTGAAGTAATGTGAGATTTTTTTTCAATATATTTAGGTAAAACCAGTTTTATTTTTAGCATTGCAAGATAGCACGCCGGTGATGCCTAGGTTCAATCCCAGTCGGCGCCGCCGGGATGTTCTGAGGCATATCATCTCTGATCACGCCTTCCTTCGGGGAAGTAAAGCTGTTGGTCCCCGGTTCATGAGTTGATGGGTCGATCGGTAGGGTCCAGGTGTGTGGAAACTGCCTTGGCGTCAGTAGCATTGATGCTCAGCACGGAAAACAAGATCGACGGAAAACAAATAAAAAAAAAGCAATGCAAGATATTTGACTTCAATAGTACAGTTTTAAAAGACCTCAGATTAAAAAAAAAACGCTTGAACTTTTTAGGATTAAAACACATTGAGAATTGTGGAGGAATTTTAGGGATAAATCAAAACTAAAGGTGAACCCTATGCTAGAGACTACGATGAGGATTTTGATTTGAATTCCATGGAGCTCTAAAGCAAAACAGAAGGAAATTCAGGTATGATTCTAAGGGACTTTGGAGGATGATTCAAAGAGAATTAACCCTACGGCCAAATTAATGACGACCGACGGCTGAAAATCTCTTAAATGTTGATCAATCAATTAATCAAAGAGCAATTCCGCGAAGAGCTGCAAAAATATGGAAGATAGTTTCAAAAGGATCTAATTCTTAATATAGTTTAAAAAAAACTCGCATTTCAAGCTTATTGCTTATCCCATATTGGCTCATTACCTGCTCTCAACGTATTGTTCTAGATGTATTTCCACAGCTATTAATTGGGACCTTTCCATTCCTGTACTATTTTTGTATTAGTATAATTGTGTGTCAAGTATAATCCTACTCTATGCTCTGAACCCAGCCACCTCCAGCATGGCCTTGCTTTGTAGTTGCACCTTTACCGAGGCTCCTCGGAGGATTCATAAAAAATTTTGAGAAGTTTCTGGGAGGGTTTGGCAGGAAACTCCGAGCAATCTGCAAGGGAACTCAATGTAGAGTTTCAAGAAAATTCCAAAAGATCCTCTCAAGGGCATTTTGAGAAGAACTTCAAGGAAATTCAGAGGTGATTTCCATGGAATTCTGAGGTGAAATGCAGGGAAATTAGGGAAGAATACTTTTCTAAATTATCAATGCCATGTCTAAGAGATTTCCGATGAATTATTATTAACAGAATTCGATTAAGGTTAAAAAATATCATAAGGATCCAATCAAATTTCCAGTTTTTCACGGTTGTTTTCGATTTCCGGTTAATTCCCAGTTATTCTTGCTTTTATGTTTAAGTGGCTACCATGTTCAAAGGCCGAGTGGGTCTTTGAACCGAATGATATATTAAACTTGGAAATTTATTTAGAAAACAAAGGGATCCACGGAATAACATTTGAATCTCGGACTGAGAAATTTGTTGAAGATTATATGAGAAAATTTCGAGATTTAGAGACTAGGCCAGTTTACTTGTCGAGATTTCAGACACCGAAAAATTTAAAATATAAAATGTGAAGTGATTGTCAAGATGTCAGATTTAAAAAAAAAATTATCGCTTGGACAAAATGTTCAGATGTTCAAGAGGTAATTCTTAAGGAATTCTTGACTGCCTTCCAAACCACAGCAGCGATTAGCGAAGAATTAACTCTTCCAAAAATTTCAAGCAAACGCTCGTGAACTTCATCGCATCATCCGGGAGAGAGAAACTTTTCGACGAGAATGATGGAACCTCATGGCTTCAGATAAAAGCAATTCAGTCTGGAAATTGTTTTATTTGTTAGAGATTTCATGAAAACGAAACTGCTTTTTCATAAATGGCCTATGGAAAATCATATTGCTATTATTCAATTTGATTCACAATCTTCGTTATTTCACGATATATTTGTATTGTAATTCCTTAATTCTCATCAATTCGTACATGAGCAGTAATAGAGATTTCGAAAATCATCAAATTATCTCGGTTGGAAGCAGTGATTAATTATCAAATAATTTGTTTTTTCCCTCAAATTATAAATTATTTGCAAAATCAACGTTTCTGGAAGGTGGTTTCGATCTTCCGAAGCACATTTCACATTTGACTTAATCTGCCAACCTAAAGCTTGGCCACAATATGAGAACAGTTTTGATCATTTTGGTAACTATTTCACTTTAATGATAAGGCAATTTCAGAGGATTTTGTAGAGTTTCATTTTCGATCAGTTTTTTTTGTTACAATGAATTTCTCAAGATTGGATGATATTTATGAATTCCTTTTCATCTTGATTGATGCTTTTTCTAGTGAAAGGCAAATGGCACAATATTGATATTTATTGATGCCAAAATAGATAAAATATGATTTTCAAATGGTTATCAATGCTTTTATCAAATAACCATTTTGAAACAAATCAATCATGAAGTGCTTCGAAAATATACCCTTCAAAACCTTTTCCAACCCCCAACAAGACAGATTCTACTCTTAATGAGGTTTTGGTGGATGTAATAAAGGCAAAGCTTTCTTGACCAGAGTCTATGAATGTTATTTTATAGTAGCCTTGTAGTACTTCATAAAACGTACTATGTTACTTGGGATTCCAGGATGATTCGGAAGAATGTTACAAGGGAATTTGGATAAGAATTCTAAAGGAATATAATTCTCAGAATAGATCCAAAGAAATTCTAAGAGATTCTCTCAAGGCAATTTTGAGAAGAATTTCAAGAGAATTCTGAGAAACAATCTCATGGAATTCTGATGTGAACTCCACGGTAATTTCGGGACAATACTTTGGGAGAATTATAAGAGCAGGAGAATCTTGAGATAATTCTGTTAAGAAATTCAAGAAACTTCTGAAATAATCTTTAATGGAATTATGAGGAGAATTCCGAGGTAAGGAATGAAGAAGTTTTCTAGATTCTGTAACATGGCAAGTTCTCAAGGTTCTAAAGCTACAAACTTTTGCTAGAGGCAAGTGTTAGCAAGTGTTAGAGGCTTAGAATTTTTGTTTACGATTCTAACTGCAATCATTTAGAAAAATTGTCAAGAACTTTTACTTAACAAATTTATGAAACACAGGGACATAGTTCATTTGTTTACGTCTCAGACTTAATATTTGAAGAAATATTCAAAATGTCGGACTTTTTTATAAACAGAATTCGATTCTCATACATTGGAAACACTTTATGATCTTGGATATATTTATTTTCTTCTCAAGAATACAATTTAATTGACTCAAAACGGAACAAAAGATTCTGCGACACGATTTTTTCTTGATGTTTGAACGAATACTAAAGCTACCGAGTTTCAAAGATATTTCAAATTTCTGGCCATAACAAGAGATTGAAAATGTTCCTAGACCATTTTTTGACAATAAACTTGAAAAACTTTCAAGATCACGAATTACAAAAGCAAGAATATTTAATCTAGATTTTTTTTTTCGAAAGCTCAGAAAATTTGTGATAGGTTTATGTCAATTTCGTGATCACAGGAAAACGAAAAGAAATGAAATTTTATAATCTGACAAATTTTGAAGATAAAGTTATTTAATGTCAATATCACGGAATTGAAAAAAAAAATCAAAATATTAGTGATTCCGTTTAACATCAATTAGGTGTTTCATGCTCTTCTATCAGTACTGACCGATGGAAAGTATGCTGCTGGAAAATCGACTTAAGAATTTATGACGAAATTCACATCAATGCTGGTGCAATTTGTTCGACACATTATTTCTACATAATGTCGCTATTACTAAAAAGAACAAAGTGTAGAAATTTATTCACCGCAAGAAGCAATGTTTGAAGAGAAGTTTAAGAGTTTTCGAAAATGTCCATACCGCAAAACTAGTTTATCCACCACATCCACAGGGCGACATCTGTCGGATTTGAGGGTGGTAAGTATTACCTAATGGAACAGTTATCGTTTCCGTCTGTTCGCAACTCTTCTTGTCAGACGTTACACACCGATTTTTAATAAATCATTCGATCACAGTTTTGATGTGTATTTAAAGGCAAATTCTTTAGTATCAACCAGAGTTGGCATGCTAAATTTTTTACCCAAATTGATAATTTGTTAATAACTGGGCCCGGAACTAATCAAATCCGCTCACCAGTTCACAATATCACAACCAAAGATGGTGGAACTTTTTTCAAGAAATAATTGATTTTAGTGTATGGTTCATGCAGCAATGCCAGATCAACGGAATTTTTCCAAGATCTACGAAAATGACCCGATTGTTGTGCAAATACGGATCCAGATGGACAAAATATACAGAATTTTGCTTTTTTTTATAGGGATTTTTATCATTTTCTGCGGAAATTTATGGATTTTGCAATCTTCATGCAAATGGGCACCTTGTCAAAGTATCACCCCTCGCTCAACACTTTCAAAAGTTATGACACCTACGGAATTGACCTAGAATAAATATAACATCATTCAAACACCTATGAGACGTGTGAGAGTGCTGATTTTTTTAGCATCCATGCTGCTGTTAATTACAGGCAAACTGGAATCCGGTGGTACTGAAGAAGTGGTTTACCAAGGTAGAACCATCAACAGTATTCCACCCGATTACAGTTAATGCAGTTTTGCTAATAGTATTACTTTTACATCCTATAATGATGTTCAAGTTGTTCTACATTTGCTTATAATTCCCTTTGTTGCACAGTAGTTCCTCCGTTTGCCAAAATGAGTAAAATCCTACTCAATTTTGAGTTAGTCTGAGCAACCCTGTGTTCAGATTATGTAAATTTCCAAAAATGTGTATGTATAGTTATCTCGTAACCTCTCAAAAACCGTCTTCGTAGTTTATGAATAACCTCTAATGTGGTCGTCGGAAGACTTTTCAAATAATTTTAACAAAATTAATGATGGCTGATTTTACCAATCAAGTTAAACTCCATCACTATGCATACTAAACCAAAATATATCAACAATTTTATGCGAACATATTGTGTTTAGACAAAAAAATCTGTGTTCATTTGACTGTTTGTTTGTGTTATAGTCACAACATATTTAAGGTAATTCGTGACTTGTCCGGGGATCAGATGAACTCGTGACCTTTAGTGTGAGATACACCACTAGGCCGGGACCGTCCCCTTACAGTCAAATGTTAAAATGTATCACAATATGTTATGCAGAAAATTTCTTATATTTAGAAATAGTTAGATTTGTATGAACATTTGACCGTTGCTAGAGTGCTCCATGAGCAATCCATTTGTGGACTAGCCAAGTTGTAACCATGCTGAGTGAAATACAGTCTATTGAAGACCAACGCTTTGAACATGCCACTATGTATGGCATGTATGCAAATAATCTTAAATCGTTGAATAGCAATCAAAACAGCAAACCACTATTAGCTGTTTACAAACAGGTACACACAAAAAAAAATCTTCCATAGGTCCAACAAACGACATACTTGCACAATCTCGACAGAATCCTTCTAACATTTCCCAGCCAATGGCTGGTTCTTTCAAGAACAACATCTTACCCCCTCACGTTCCACCTCTGCGGATGCTGGACCTCTACAGAGCGTTTTAGCAACCACAACCGTGAAAGAGCAACCTACTCCCCGAAACCCCCACATCACATGCCAGGACGGTGTCTTCAAGTGCAACTGCATTCGTTCTAAACCCCTGAAAACTGGTTGCTAACTGCATTGAAACGGTTCTATTACCATGCACTAACATGTTCTATCCTCTCTCTAATGCCATCGCCGGTTCGTTATCCAAACCATCAGCAAACAAATTCGCAAACGAACCAACCGCAGCATACTATTTTACCCACTTAATAAAGATAGCGCTGGGTAGAGCCGAACTTTGCGTCCGTTTGAGCCGGCTATGCATCCACAGCATCCACGCGATCGATGAGAGAGTTGAACGCGCGCGGGTTGACGCTAGACACGAACTCGCTGCTGTTCCATGCTGCTGTGGTGGTGCTTTTTGCTCTTCAAGGACATCTCCATCTTCGCGCTCGCGGTAGAGGAACCTACTTAGCACTTAGGAGTAGCCGCCGCAGTCACAGATCGGAAGAAGGAGGTGGGAGCATTTCTCGGTTTACTATACTTTGCGACATGAAAAACTCGAGAGCAGATCGGACTTTTTCCCTTCTATTTCGATCTCGCTCTCGCTGGCATTACTCTGCTGGAAGTTCTTCCACCGGATCTAGTGAACTTTGTGCATGTGTGAGAGTATCTCTCTCGGGGGTAGTATGTTCGAATGGGGCTGGGGCTGGCAAATTATGTTTACTATATTTTTTTTTCGGAAAATAACAACGTTCAGTCACTCTCCGTTGAAAAGGTGCTAAACCGAGAGAGAGAGACATTGACTTGATCTTGGTGGTGGTTTGGCGATCATTGTGGGAAAGAGTTGCGGTGGCGAGGGGTTCGTTCATTCTAGATTTGGAATTGATTCCGAGGTCTCTGTTGACTGTTTTGCAGAAAAATCTTACTGTCAGGACTAGTAAGAATTCAGTGTTACAGCTACGCTCGTCCGGACCGGAGTTGCACTTGGTCTATTCTTGGTGTTCTCGGATCGGTACAAGAAAAAAAAAACATCCATTCCTTTTACAGAGGGTGATCGTTATATTTAGTAGAGTGATTGAATCAGGTTAGCACATTATGGTTTTATGAATGAAACAAGTAACGCAACAAGTGTGGTGTGCCAACAAAGTGCCCCAGAATTTGGACGGAACCGGTGACACAAGTTCTATCGCTAGTTGGTGTAAATTTTTGTGCAAGGACAGATGAAAAGGGATTTCCTCACCTAGATTGCCATCGATGGAAGCTTGCTTTGTGAGTGCTGTTCGGAGTGATTAACGGTTTTCGGTGGAACAAAAACAAAAGTGAAAAAAGTGATAGAATTTAGTAGGATTGTAGTTTAGCAGCACAAGTTCGGGTGCCAAAATGATAACCATGGATGTGCGAGATAACTTTACGGATTTGACATGGGCTTCGAACTATATTATGAAGATGGCAGTGGACGAGTATCAGGCGGAGCGGAACTGGACGCGATTGGTTTATCAGTATTGGGAACTTGTGGAGGAGCTGATTGGAGGTAAATGATTTCGAAATACCATGCCAAAGTCGTCAGTTCAAACTTACCCGAATAGGGCTGATGACCCTAATATCAGCCTAAGTGTCCCTTAAATTGGGCTCGTACCTTAAATCCGAGGCACTGCATTCTATGACAATTTTTCATTGGCAACCAAAAATAGCCATAGACCAAGATTAAAACTAAATTTCCTCAACTCAAGGAGATTACGTTAGTTGGTTTTCTTTGGAGAATTTGGTGAAATTATAATAAGAAAGATACATATGGGAATTCCATATGCCAGCACAGAAAAAAAAAACTTTTTATGGATGGCTTTTTACACTTTTGTAGCGAGCGTTTTGCCAATGATACTCTACTATGCCCAGGGAAGTCGGGAAAATTTCCAACCCATAAGATTTCCAGACTAGGCTATACATCACTGATGCACTCTCCCTAAAATTTTCTGAACATTAACTGAAAGAAGTTTGGAAAATCACTGATCGGTGATTAGCGGAAGTGAGGGTAAAATGAACACTTGAATTTTATAACGGTGAAATCATCAAAATTCAAATATAAACAATTGAAGGGCAGAAGACGCATCGATTGAATTTCCTGCGTATTTAATTGGTTGATATAAGCCCTTAAAAACGTCAAGTCTTTATTTTATCTGCTATGTTCATTTTACCCCTACTTCCTATACATGTAAATTTTATCTGATATCTGACCGAGGGTGGGCTGTGAATTAAAGAAATTAAATTCCCGCTTTTTTCGCGGTTTTTAACGGGTGTCCAACATGTTTTTCCTGATTTCATATAAACAGCTAAAAATGTTTAAATTAGAATACCAGCATGATTGATGTTTCTAATGACAAACAGTTACCAATATGGCATATAGGGGAAATGTCTCTAATGTTGGCCTATGGATCTAATATTGGGCCCATCGCTTAAAATCCGCTATTAATCAATTTTATCTAGATGAACGCGTTCTTGGGACGTTACTAATGGATATTTTTGGTTGCTATTGAAAATTTAGTCGATTGCTCAATTTATGTATGTGCCCAAGTTAGGGACACTTAGGCCGACATTACCTGCATTTCCCCTATTAAAGATCTCAGTTAAAAAACATAGTTATTAGACTTGGAAAAAAATTAGGATTCTGACACTTCGAAGCATTGGCTCACAATGATGAGAATGCCAAATGAGTTTTGATGAGAATTGTAGAGGAATTCTGGAAAATTTTCAATGGAATTTAACTAAAAATTTCAGGAAATTTTGAGAAGGATTTCAAGAAAATTCAAAGGAGAACTACAGGTGAATTCTAAATATTATGGGGATTGTGAGTAGTATTATAGGGGAGTACCCCTATTGGCATAATACCGTTTTGGCATAATGCCATTTAGCATAACTGCAGTTTTCCATAAACACGGAAAAGAACAGCTCATGATCAAAAGAAGGTAAAATTCAAGACCAACAATTGAAATGGCCTTAACTCCATTTTGTAAACAAACCTTGTAAGACCATTTTCTCGCGAACCGAAACCTTCATTCGCAAACCTAAACCACAATCGGGTAGAGGAGTATTTCCCCTACCTGTTCATTATGTTGGTTTGTCTTTGCGGACGTCGGTTCGCGAGAAAATGGTCTTACACGGTTTGTTTACAAAATGGAGTTAAGGCCATTTCAATTATTGGTCTTGAATTATCATTTAATAGATATTTTCCCTTCATTTGAGCATGATCTGTTCTTTCATATGTTTTGAAGAACCGATAATAATATAATAAAACAAAAACAGGCATGTTCTGTAAAATATTGTTAAAGCATTTATGCTAACTGGCCCTTATTGGGGATTATGCTAAACGGCTTTATGCCAACTGGGGTACTCCAGTATTCTAGGAAACTCTAAGATAAATCGGAAGGAATTTCAAAAAACATTCCAAGGGAATTCAGAAGGGGATTAAAAATGAATTTTGTTGATGAACTACCCTAGAAGTGGCTAAAAACTCCCTAATAAAGTTAATTAAATAAGGCAAACGTAATGATTAAATGACTACAATCCTGAAACTACACCCAATGATCACTTATGGCTAAAACTCTCAAATTTTGATCGATTGATTAATCAAAAAGAAAGTTTGAGGTGAGCTGCAAGGCAATATGGATAATAATTCCAAGGGAATCTAATTCATATTGTAGCTCAAAAAATATGCAGAATTTTAAGCTAATTTGAAGAGCATTCCAAGAATTTTAAAAAGTTTGAGAAGGTTTAGCAGGTAGTTTTGAGCATATTTCCAATGAAACTCGGAGTAGTGTTCCAGGAGGATTTGAAGAAATTTTCAAGGGAATTCAAAGGAGAGATTCAAGGAAATTTTTCTCTGTTATTCTGGTAAATGTTGGGATAATACTTTCCAAATTCGAAATGGCATACTAAGAGATTTCCAGAAATATCCCAAGCGAATTGTAAAGAATATAATGAAGAGAAATTAATGCAAATTCTCGCGAGAATTTTTAAGAATACCAATATAAATGTACATATAGTGAAGCGTTTTGTGGAGGGAATTCCTAAAGTTTCTGCACAAAATTCCGATATTTTTGGAGACAATTTCTAGGGAATACCGGACAGAGTCATAAGATTATTGAGTGGAATCCTGAAAGTAAAAGTAATTTTGAAGACATTTTGAAATGATCTTTAGGAAATCCTTAAGAAATTCACAAAGCTATCCATGTTTCAATTTAGTTATGTTTTAGATTCCGAATACAGAAATTCCACATCCAGTATTAGGGGGGGCAGTGAATTTTCATTTCAAAATTCCCGGTTATTTCCCGGTTTTCCTGGATCAAATCTAAAAAAAATCCCGGTTTATAATATTCAGTAAAAAATTAAAGTATTCAATGATAAAAACAATCAAAACGTGCCCAAGTGAAAATTTGCGATGATATTTGTGGGTATATTATCTTTAAAAGCAAAACTACAGAAATCATTTGAAGTTGAAAGTTGAAAAAACGAAATGGCACGCTTTACATATTAAAAAGTGTTTTTATTTGATATGAATAATGCCAAAACTGGGTTGCTGAAATAAGTAAGTAGAGGGAATGGCTCTAATGCTGGCATATGGATCTAAGATTGGGTCCACCGCTTAAATTCTGCTATTTATCAATTTTATCTAGAAGAACGGGTCATTGGGACGGTACTAATGGATATTTTTGGTCACTATTGAAAATTTAGTCGATTGCTGAATTTTTGTATGGGCCCAAATTAGGGGCATTTAGGCCGATATTACATCCATTTCCCCTATCTGGCATTTTAATTCATTAGTTTTAAAACTTCAAAACAAGGAAAACTTCACCACAATGGCAAGACTCGATTATTTAAACAAGGCTATGTTTTGTGTTTTGAAATTAAAATTTAGTGAAACAGCTTTTGAAATGAGTGTCAAAGTTTTATCGAACGTTCAGCTGTTGAAAGTTTGTTTTACCGAAGTCGATTATAATTTCTAAATGTGTATGGTGAGTACTCAAGAACACCGGATTTGTATTACACAGCAAAAAATAAATTTTAATATTACATCCAAGAGGATGCACTACAATCATGTCGAAAATCTCATCAAATTTTTATGGCCATTACAATAAACAAATGCAGTAAAAGCAGCATAATGTCAGTTCATGCACTGTATTAATGATAATATTTTCCTTTTTGACAACTAATATTAAACCATATTTTCGAAACGATTGACGTGCATCCACTTTGATGTGATGTTTGCTGTGTATGATATACTTTGGTATAAATTAACGGACAATTTTCCTCAGGACACCAGAATCATGTTGTGATGTGGCCGATAAGTCGGTCCTTGGTACTCTTCGATTTAAAAACTTCTAGCAAAGATCGACCGTTTCTAATAGTAACTTTCAATTGAGAGAAAGGGTAGTATGAATACCACCATGTTGCACGCACACCAACGCTTACTTATGGGACTTCAGCATAGAGTGTTTTTACGTTTAACCAGCGCACACTAATGCACCACTTAAATTGAAAGAGTGCGAGCAAGAGGGAAACAGATTAGTGGGAAAACACACCATCCATTGATCCCTGTGTGCTAGATAGAGAAAGACGATTAAGCACCGGCAAGGTCTATCGTCCAGTCTATGTGCGGGAGTATTGATGGTCCAGTGAGGATAACAATAACAAACCAACATTTTAGTGAGGATAACAAACCTCGCACTTGTATCAAAATATGAATTCGATCTCGTTAGAAAAGAAAATTATATCAATGTTTTTAAAAACATAATTTAATTTAAGTTTAGCTTATCTTATCAAAATCATCGATTTGTACTGTATGGAAAAATGAAGGGACCACTGAATACAAAAAGTTACAGAACATATCGAGTTGACTGTATTTCATTTCATTAAAAAAAATGATATAACGAAATTGCCCAAGAATCATTGCAAGTTTTATTAAGGGTTTAAAGCACTCTACAAGTCTACATCATGGTCTACCCTAATAAAAAATAACCATAAACGAACGATAACCCAAATCATTGAACTATTCCACAAATTGTTTGGATGATACCCAGAACACGTCGTTAAGCAAATTAACCATACAATTTTTATTAGGGTATAGAACCCTCATAAATCCTAAATTGTTACTTGGGTGCTCAGTCGTAAAACTTAAATCAGATTGAAACTGAAAGACTAAGGAATCGTGTGAAGTGTTTTGATGGGAAAATACAATGAAATTAACGTATAAATTTCGGTTGCCGTAAACAGTTAATGGGTGCCGAAGCCGTCATTTGCCCTATTATATGTTATGATCAGGTTGTTTTTATTAGTAAGATACAAGATGGTGTTATAAAGTATGCGTTTGACACAAAAAAAAACTGCCAATTTCGCCTCCTGAGAGTCGCAATCAGTGATTTTATAAATTTCAACTCACTCACTCACTCACTCACTCAATCAGCGATCACAAAATCGATGATTGTGACTCTTAGAAAACAAAATTGACCGTATTATGTGTCATACTTTGCAACCATTTTT